AAGGAAGGAAGGAAGAAAACAGATTAGCAAGGTTAGTGAATGGAATATTTGGGTTACCAGCTCTCTGTGATGTTGCCAGGAGCAGAACCAGCCCTTTCCTTAACCCCAGCCCAAGGTACTTTAGGCTCTGCCCTACCACCTCAGGTCCTAAGGTGACTCTTACACGCTGGACATCAGGTCCTCATGGAGAGAGCCAGGGGGTCCTTTGGATAAGCCAGAACTCTACAATGAGTACTTTAAAGCCAAGTGTGGAGGCTGGGGACCCTCATCAAACTTCTTCACATGCAGGAACCATGGTAAGTGCATTTGCCACGTGCCTATGGCCAAGTAGGCCTTGAACTCAGGTTTGCTAAGGCCAAGTGCCAGGTACTTCCCACACACCATGCTGCCTCCCCTTGTGCTTTCCCCAATCCTACTTATCTCTCAGAGTTCAGCACCTGCCCCGCCTCCTCCAGGAGGTCTCCCTGACCACTTCAGGACTCCCCTTTGTCTGAACACCTTGAAGCCTGGTCTATAGTACCCCTGGTCCTACCCTGTGGTGCCTGGCAACTGCCTGATGCTTGCACGTCTCACCTCTCCAGCTGGCTGGGAGATTCCTTGGAGGCAGGACTTCCATGTTTCCATCCCCTCTGGGATTTTTATCTATATATATTAAATGTCCTTTACTTGAGGCACATGACAGATGCTCAGGCAGATTCTAGGATGAACCAGAGCTTGCATCCTGAAATACAACCCAGAGGGTCACTCCTCCCTTCAGTTCCTTTAGAGGCCCCCCAGTGCCCTTTACCATGCTGACCTCTCTTGAGCCATCTCTCACTACATACACTCACACCCTGCAACACACATGCACCGGGCTCTAGCTCTAGAGCCTTTTCATTCCCACGACAGTTCCACTTGCCTCTGGGCCTTTGTGTGTGCCCTCCCCTCTCCTTCACCCAACCCTGGTTGCCCACTGGGACTCAGCTTGCCTATCACTTCTTTTAGGAAGCCTTCCCTAGCTCCCAAGTCTGACTCAGGGGCTGGCCCCTCCCCTGGGCTCCAGAGGCACCTGTTAGTTGTGTGTGCCCTCCCCCCTCCTTCACCCAACCCTGGTTGCCCACTGGGCCTCAGCTTGCCTATCACTTCTTTTAGGAAGCCTTCCCTAGCTCCCAAGTCTGACTCAGGGGCTGGCCCCTCCCCTGGGCTCCAGAGAAACCTGTTAGTGCCCTATTCTAACACGTAACAATTCAAGCCATTCTCCATGTAACTGACTGTTGACTTGTCTGTCTCCTTCACTCCACTGGGATTTAGGAGGACAGCATCCTGATCTGCCTGATTTCTTGCTGTATCTCCAGCAGCTAAGGCCAACTCCTTAGGCACCAAGAGTGTGCAACAGACACTCATTAAATGAACACATGAATTAATGTACCATTTTTACATATAGCAAGTATGCGGCGAACAAATGCCCCTCTGGGCCATCTGACTATCTAGTGGTTAGAGTCACACAAATTCCGAGACATTCACATCTTCAACGTTCTTTATTCTCAGTAGTTCACATCAGCTATCCACCAAGCCAGAGCCCATCATAGTACCAAGAATTCGTTCCTCTTTCCTTTGATATTGTAGTCTTGTCCTCATGTTGGGGTCCGAAAGGTTAAAGAGGTCTTACTCCAGAGCAGGGAGCAAGGAGCACCCTTGTGAATTAGTCTTCAACTCTTGCAAGTCTTGTTCAGTTCACAAGCAAATACCTTAGCAAGTTTAATGCATGACAGGCAGACAGTGAAATAAATAAGACACAGCGCAACGATTCTAGGCATTTGGGAGGGGGAAAGGCACATTACCGAGTCCCCTGGAGAAAATTCAAGCCATTCTCCATCTTCTCAATATGCATTTTCTCACCCTTCAGTGGCTTTTAATCTCATCGCCCAGTCTATGGGAAACCATAACCCATGTGTTACGGAATATATTTTTATTTCACCCTCATGAGATAGATTTGGTTCCAAGTGTATTTCAGTTTTCTCCCTTATGCCTATAAGAACATCCAATTTTGCTCAGGTCCCTTTTAATGGCACTTAATAAACATACATCTGGGACCTGACAGGCTGTCCTATTTCAAATCACCCCCAAAACTGGCTGTTCAAAACATCTAAGCTAGTACAAAGGTTGGACGCGGCGTGTCCTAGCTTACAGCCTGTGGCCGTTTCTGATCCCCAGCCTATCTTGTCTAGCACTGCGTGTCTAGCGCAGAGGTCCCTAACCCTGGCCACACATTAGCAGCACGTGGGGGAGCTTCCTGAGTTCCTGAGGCCCAAGCCGTACCCCAGGCTAATTACATCAGAACCTCTGGGTGGGATCCTGGCGTCCATCACGGCTGAAAGCTGCCGGTGACTGCAGCGAGCGGCCACACCGAGAAGCCCTGAGCTAGGGTTCTAGCCCACAGTAGAGTCTCAGTGAGTACCTGTGGAATCCACAAATGCATTTCCTATTTTATCATCTGTTCCCCTAAGCTTCCTATTTGTATTATAAATCGGAGCAGGAAAGAGAAAGGGAAAGGACTCAAGAGCACCTTGTTAAGTGAATTTGGTGCCAGGAAGGGGATTGTGGGACTGAGTTGCTCTTGCATTATGCAGGCTTCATGCTTTCACAAGCCCAGACAAGGTGAGTTACAGACTGTATCTGTTTCTTAAAAGCCCTCCAAAACCCAGAGCTAATAGCTTTGGCTCTATAGTTACAATAACATAGAAATGTTCTTGGAAATAAGTCTATACTGCTGCCTGCTTTCACATACACTCTCCTTGGGTTGGTTCCAAAATTTGTGATTTCTATTAAAGATCATTCTGGATCACCTTTTCCCTCTTCTGTGAATCTTGAAATTTATCTTAGCCCAAAGTGACAACCTAGAGATGATGTCCCAATAGGAGCTATACCCAACACTGCCCCAAGTGGGTTAGTCTTCCCTGAACAGGAACTGTTTTTCAATTTCCAGGTTCTAGAAAGGAATGACATTAGGTTTGACCTCACCAAGTTCTAGAGACTGGCTACCTAGAATGCAGCATTGAGAAGGATCCCAAGGTAGATCCTGGGTTTATGGGAAGGACACCATGCTGATTAATGACATCTGCCATGGAAAGGGGCTGGGAAACAGCAGTATGATGCTCCCATTTGCAGCCAGGGCCAGCTGATGCTGGGGCCACCCTGAGACCACATCCAGGCACATCCTGCTACTGATGGCAATTTATATCATACGTAATGATTTGCAAGGAGCTTTCATATCTTAGCCTCATGTTAATCTCACCACAGCCCTATGAGTTAGTCTTTATGGATGGGAAAAATCAGGCTGTGTCCTATGTCCAAGGTCCCAGAGCCAACTGGCATCATGTCCATTCTTGCCTCCAGGCCCTCAGTGGCCTCCTGAAACCACAGGTGTTTCCCCTTCTTCCAGAAACAGAAAAACAAGCCATTGCCTAACCTTCTCCACCCAGCAGGCTTTTAGTCATCAGCTTCACAGAGTTTTCTCTATGATTTGCATACCCTTTGTCCCTTAGTCCAGAGAACACAGGAGCAGTGTAGAACTGCTGCCAGAAGTCTCACACACCCTCAAAATCCCCTCTTCTCTGGAACTGCCTCTGACTTTTCCTACACACATTCCAGACCTGTGACTTAGTCACACCCACCCCTAGGTCCAGCCAAGAGTCTCCTGGGAACCTCTTCATTGCCCTGACAAGTCTCACTCCCCTTCTAGGGCTCCCAGGAGTTCACTGCCCAAGATGGTTCCACTCCCAGCATGGAGAAATAGCCGATGACTGGTCAGCTATGGTGCCTCCTGATACCACAGGTAGGAAGTAAAGTGTTAGGGCCCACAGTTCTGGTTCTCCAGGGCCCCTCCCTGCAACCACACAGCACACAGGTACCATTCACCTGGGCCACCCACTCCCATGACCAGGCCTGGATCTGGGCACAGGTAAGATTGGCCAGAAGCCATGGCAAAGCCTAATCAGCTAGACCGGCCATCCAGGGTGTTGTGACTTCAGATAGGAATGACCTCTTTATGTAGACATGAGTGGGCCTGGCTGGAGCCTTTTGTGCCCACCAGCGCCAGGCACTCTGCAAAGCCCACCCACCTCTTCCAGCTGCCCTCTGGGTGGCCTTCACCCCACCCTGGCCTGATCTCCCTTTCCACCCCCACCTTCTCTTTGCTTCCTCTCCCTTGCAGGGTCACAGCCTCTAAGCCTCCCCCCTCCCTCGGCAACATGGGCTCAAGGAGGGCACCTAGGAGGGCAGACTCCAACCCCACTGAGCTGGGCCTGGGGCCCTAGCCAGGAAGCTGGAAGGCACGTAGCCCCTCTGCCCGTTCACTTCCACCAGGCTCCACTCTGGGTTCCCCTTCTTGTCCTGGGCTTCCAAGACAGTCACTGGCTGACCTGCCTGCAGACTCACTTCATGGCTGCTTCTGGCCACAAAGGGGTACATTGCCACCACCTGAAACATATGAGAAGTGACAGAGATATGGTCGGGAAGGGAAGACAAAGCCAACCCAGAGAGGCTGCTATCCTGCTAGTTCCCACTGCTGGATAGCCATAGCCTCCCAAGCATGTCTGTAAGCCGCAGACGACAGCTACTCCTGCTACTTCCACCACTCATACCTGCTATAAGGCAGGCTCTGTCCCAGCACTTCACCTGGTTTTGATTTTCACAATTCTATAATTCTATTTGCTGCATTTTTCAGATAAGGAAATTGAGACTCAGAGAAGTTAAGGAGCTTACTCAAAATCACACAGCAGTGAAGCTAGGCCTGTCTGACATCAGAAGGGGTCTTCTCAAGCCACTGCTGCCATCTCACTAAGCAGCAGACCCAGCACCCTCTCCCCGTCTCCCTCCCCAGATCTGGGGGTGTCATCTACTCAGGCCAGTTTCCCAGACTAGAGTAGAAATGGGACTGGGAGACTTGGTTACTATTTAGGCAAAGACACTGAACTAGAGAAAAAAATTGGAAAGGGCATTTACTAGACTAATATTTCACCTTTCTTGGTCTCAGTTTCATCAAATGGGAATGCTATCCTCCCCTCCAGGTAATTGTGGGAATGTAATGAATGAATGCCTGTGCCAGGCACATAGTAAGGGCTCAGCAAATGTGGCTGCTTTGACTATTTTTACTGTTGTTATTGTGGCCAAGGCTCAGGAACAATCAGGAGCAAGGGTGAACTGGGATGGGCCCACGTGAGTTCCGCTGAGCAGCCCCACCAACAGAAGCAGCAGCTGAGGTGTCTGGGTGGGCGGACAGCTGAGCTCACCTCAGAAGCCCCTGGGGGATCGGGTGGGGGTGTGCGGCGGGGATGATGCTTCCCAGAGGCCCTGCCACACTGGCTGGAGCTGGAGCTAAGCTGGGTGGCCAGGCCCTCTCCCGGGATTCTCGTGGGTCCTTCACTGACTGGAGGATATCCAGCAGGAGGCAGCCCTGATGCATTACTTCTGTCAAATGGTGCAGGCACTGGTCTGAAAGCCTTCCTGGGGCTGTACCCGGGAAGCCTCCGCAGCCTTCTACACGGCCTTCACCCAGGCTCCTCCGGCCGCCCTGGCCTGAGGCATCCCCCGTAGTCACTGCAAGGCTCCGGTGGGGGCTGCCGCCCCTGTCTGGGTCCCTTCTTATCTGTCCCCTGTGTACCCTCTCCTTTATAACTGAGTGCATCCTCCATTTACTGCAGTTCACATATGTCCAGCCTGCCTTTTCCATCTCACCCCATCCTCACAGCAACCCCACTGAGCTTCTTCCCCCTCGAGGACTCCGTCCATCCCAGCAAAGCCAAACCCTTCGATGGCTTCTCATCCCTTTCTTTGTTTTGAGATATAATTCACATAGCATAACATACACCCTTTTAAAGTAGATGATTCAATAGTTTTTAATATGCTCAAAAGGCTGTGTGACCATCCCCACTATCTAATTCCAGAACATTTTCATCACCCCAATAAGAAACCACACACCAGTTAGTAGCCACTTCCCAGCCCTCTACCCCCTGGCCCCTGCCAACCACTGATCTTTCTGTCTCTATGCATTTGCCTATTCTGGACATTTCATATATATAGAATCATATAATATGTGGCCTTTTGTGACAGACTATATGTGACAGCATGGATTGTCACTTCATTCTCTTTTGTGGCTGAATAACATTGAGTTGTATGGCTAGACCACATTCTGTTGATCTATTCATCAGGTGATGGACATCTGGGTTGTTTCTACTTCTTGTCTGTTATGAACACTGCTGCTGTAACATGCTGGTGCTTGCTTCTCATTGCTTTTAGGATAAAGACTGGCACCCTCACAGAGGCCACAGCCCTGCCGGCCTGGCCCTGCCCCACTGTCCCAGCCTCAAGGCTTCATTCAGTTCCTCTCACGCCCTGTCTTCCCTGTCACTGCACGTTTGTGTTTGCCACAAGGCACACTTTCTGGAGAGCTCTTCCCATCTGGAAGGAGCTGTCCAGCACACCCCCTCCTAGCCACCCTTCAACTCTAAGAATAAGCACCATTCTTCTCAGAAAAGCCTTTCCCGAACCTCTCCCTCATCTGGGGCTCTGGCAATTATCACCGCTAAAAGTCAACAATTATTCATGATTATTTTATTACTTGCTGTTTTTCTGACTCCCAAATTATCAATGTGAGGAGTCAAGGACCTAGATTACTTTTGCCCATCATTATATTGCTCATTTAGCACATGCCTGGCAAATATTGAGTGAGTGAATGAATGAATGAATGAATTGCACTTGCCCTCCTAATGGGAAGCAAGCGGTATTATTCTCTGTTATTGACAAGGCAGGAACAGGAGGCTCCTTTCTCTGGCCCCACCCCTGGCCAGGACCCTGATATGGCCACTGACTGAGGCCCTGCCTAACAGGGTGGTAGCCCCTCCAGATAGGAGGAAAATCAAAGCCCCACTCCAGGTTGCCCTGGGAGGCAAGCCCCCACCCTCTCCCAGACTCACCTGGGTCACGGTCAGGACAGAGACTGGGGCTGGAGTGGGCTCTGGTGTTAGACATTGAGAGTTCTTGCCAGGCTCCACTTGCCCTCTGAGCTCCTCCTTACTCAGGAAGACTTGGTACAGCTCCAGTTTCCTAGCTGGCACGTAACCACGACATCCTACAGGACACACAGAACATCATCTGGCTCTGGACCACCTTCCCCATCTCTTTTAGTGGTAGAGGAAGTCACCATTTATGAATGTGAATGCCTCCAACACAGCTTCACAGCACTGAAGGACCTGAAAAGGTCACCTAGGAACCTCACAAACCCAGCCCTACCCCACCCCGCACTGTTTCTAGTTTCTGCTTGCACACCTCCAGTGACAGGGAGCTCATTCCCTACTTAGGCAGCCCACTCCGCTTTGAACAGCTCTGACAGAGACAGCAAGTTCTTTCTTGGACTGGTGTGAAAACTGCTTTCTTGATGCTGGCACCACTGGTCCCCTTCCCCTCTAGTGGAGGCCTGGGCCAAGGCTGCTTCCCCACTCCAGGGCAGCCTTCCCCAGAGGGCAGAAATTGCCCTTTTCTCCTCCACGTGCCACCAGGTCCGGCTTGTGTAACAGCTCCTCCAGTGCTGCCCTGGCTGCTGTCATTATGAATAGCCATCACTTTCCGAGAGCTTGATAGGTACCACAGCTGGCATTTCCTTATGTGGTCTCCACATCAACTCTCCAGGTTGGTATTGTTAATGCCACTTAATGGCCCTGGCTGAGCCAACTGAGTTCAGAAAGGCTCCGTAACCTGCCCACAGTCATGCAGGTTAGGGTGTGGCAGTTGGGACCCAAACCCAGTCCTCTTGAACCCAGGAGCCTTGCTAGAATCCCCATTCAGCTGGTTTTCTTTTTTCTTTTTTAGTATCATGAACATTATGTTTACTAGACTCCCCCATCATCAAGATGCCCCCAGATACCCCATTGCAGTCACTGTCCATGAGCATAGTAAGACACTATAGAATCCCTACTTGTCTTCTCTGTGTTGTCCAACCCTCCCTTTGAACCCCCTCCCACATTATACATGCTAATCGTAATGCACGCTTTCTTTCCCTCTCCCCTAATCCCTCCTTTCCCAACTATCCACCTCAGTCCCTTTCCCTTTGGTAACTGTTAGTCCATTCTTGGGTTCTGTGAATCCGGTGCTATTCTGCTCACTCATTTTCTCTTGATTCTCCTTCTCAGAGGTTAGTAAAATCATCTGATACTTGTCTTTCTCC